CATACTGGATCTAAGATCATTTGTTATGATATAGAATCCACACATAGAATATCCATATATTTACCATAGTTGTTATGATATTCCCCAGATATTTACCATGATTTACCATGATTACCATGATATTAATGGGGGGTTCCTCCTCCAATGGGGGTACCCCCACTGTGGAAATCCCCCAATTCCGCAAGGTCACCCGCTTCTTCGATGCCTTCAGCGTCCCAGAAGACGTCCGGCGGATTGCGGCAACTTGGCAAGTTGGATCACTGGGATGACACCACCATTTCCAAGACTTTTTGACACTGGTTTTTTAATGTCTTTTGTTCAAAAGTACCTCCCGGATGTCTTCACAATGGCTGCCTTGGTTGGTATTCAACTCCTACTTTCCCCTTCTCGGCATGCCCTCACATAGCGGTGCCAGGAGCGACGTGCAGAGTTGGGACATAGCGCTGCCAACCAGGGCACTGCGACAATAGGTGCAATCGCTGGCATATCATCCTGGAAGATCTGCACATTGTGGCAGTTGAATGTTGTTTGACTCTTCTAGGATTAAGATGGGGAAGGTTGATGATCAAGTTGTGAGAGACTCCCGCAAGAAAGGGCTTCTTTGCGAAGGAGTCATGCGATACTTTACCACACGCTACTGCAAGATCACCAGATCCACGAATGATGACAATAATGGCAATATATGGCAATGATGCCCTTCCATTTTATCGAATACGATCAACATGAAGCGCTCAAAGGATCTCGAACAAGGCTCCACGTGTCTCCATGGAAGGTGCGAGCGGTAGCGAGCCTGAGCCAGAGGAGATCTATCGTCGTCCTGCCGCTTTGGAGGCAGCTGCAGCCATCGCAGAGGGCACGTTTGGACGCGGGATATAGTGGGAATGGCATTTGTTGGGGAGTCTTCATTTCAATCAAGAAACATTCGTGTCATCAGGCCTTGCTTGCTGCGGAAGATGCTGCCAATTCTCAGGACAGACCTTGTGGACACCCGCAAAAGAGGCATCATATATTATATATGTTTATGTTTGTATACTGTATACATATTATATTGTATATTATATAGTATATAGTATATAGTATATAGTAAAAAGTATATAGTATATAGTATATAATATATAGTATATAGTATATAGTATATAGTATATAGTATATTATATTATATTATATTATAGTATAGTATATTATATTATAGTATAGTATAGTATAGTATATTGTATTATTATCATATTATAGTATTATGATAATATTATAGTATTATGATATTATATTTTATTATAAATCATATATGATATTATTGTGCGTTATATTATATTAAAATTATATTATATTATATGATGTGATATTATATTATTTACTGGCGAAAGCAGTCAAACCAAGGAACGGCAGATCTGAGCAACGTTAATCTAGCTGGTTCTTTTACACAGGATCCACGGCCCTCACCGCGCTTTGGTGTATCTTGTTCGCAGCGAATGCCTTGAATTGCACGGCGAAGAACCAACCCTCATGGGCCCAAAATAGAGGATTGAAGCCCCAAAATGCCATTGTTAAATTACCTGGGAAGAATGACACACATGAACTGTTTTTTTTAATCATCGGATCTAGATGGACTTGATGGACTTGGGGCACAATGGCAATGGATTCAATTGGATTTTCATTGCCATTTTCATAGCTGGTGAAGTGGTGAGACTGCAGTTTTTCGTGATTTCCAAGGCTCCGGATGGGCAACTCGGCAAAAAAATCATCGATCGATCACCTGCGGAAAGCACTAGTCATTCCAGTTTTGAGAAGTCAAATCAATAATCAGCGCATTTTGGATGTAAGTTTGAATTTAATGTTAGAACCTGATGTTGTCAAGATGTGACTGTCAACATGTCTACTATCACACGCCTTTTGGGAACCTGAGGGTTCATGACTCTGCAGCCGGGCCAGTCACTAGCTGAGAGCGGAATGCAAACACTTGGCACAGATGATGGTGCAATTGGTGACGCATTCTCTGGGCGATGGAACATATTTTTAGTATAACTATATTGTTATTAATCTATTTATATTGTTTTCTATTATATGATAATATTATATTACATGATAATATTACAACGATTATTTAGGAATCTTAATAATTCTATATATATATACAGAAATAACTATATAGGATTGTCAGGTATGATTTCCACTTTGACTTCAAACAGGCGAGCTTTTTGTAGGAGGTGCTTTCTTGATGTTGGAAGAAAGTTGTTTTACTTTGACGTTCAGCACCGTTCAAATCAATGGAATTGCACCACCGGACCATGTCGCCTTGGGAGTGAGTAGCTGTTCCAGCTGCTTCCAGGAAAGCAACTTTTTTAAACTTAAACACCATGGCATTTTGGCGTGAGAACAGGCTCTAAAAAGGATTCAAACTAATTGCCCCCCTGCATGCTGTTTGTTGCCAAAGGATGCCATTTTGATGATGACGATGAGCTACAAAGTGCTCCCCATAGTGGTGGTGACATTTATTGGCTTTCAAGTGTGTGAAGTACCACGAGCACCAGTGGCGAAGAAACTCTGAGTCGAACACACACACACACTTGAATGGTCCAAGTGTCATTTGCCTGTAAATAGATGTAAATAGATGTTGTTCTGGGCCTCTTGCAAATGTGACAGCTGCACAATACAACAACGCAGCATTTCATGATATTTCATGCAGCAAGTTGCAAGATGCCCAGATCATGTTACGGACAAAAGGGAAAAAAAGCTCGCTGGATTCGATTGGGTCTCATCGCTGGCGATTCGCGGTGCACCGCGGCGACATGGCTGACATCATTTGCAAGGTTTGTGTTAAGTATCGTTGGAAAACTCTGAATGTAAAAAATCAAAGCATAGCTATTTGATATTATTTGATGCTATTTGTTGCTATTTGAATATATGTGAATCGGTCCGTGGTAGTCAGATCAGGGACATGCAGGGACCAACCCCTTACTTATCCTTGAGCTTGAAGGGAATCCCCAAATGACAAACATAACATGAGTTCCTGCAGGTTGGGCAGGAGCTCAACTTGAAAATTCTCGAGGCCACTGGGGCTTGCAAGTCAACCTGCCAAAGTAATCAAAGTACAAACATATACAAACCTGACATGATTTTACCATATGTTTTCCTTTCACTCCACTCCCGAACCCAGCAAATCTATCATTTTTTTTTTTGAGCTGTCCAAAAGCCGTCCAAACGGAACTTGTTCTGAGAAGGTGCGACCCAAGAAATGTTTCCTTGCTTTCGACCAAGAGTTATATAACATATAGATGATCTGCATAAAATGTAGGATTATATACAATTTGATGATATTGTCAATGAATATACAATTATACACAAGTATTATACACAACTATTATACACAATTATACATGATTCTACATGCTTATACATGCTTATACATGATTATACATGATTATACAAGCTTATACAGCATGATCATAGATAATTATATGATATTATATGTATGTACCATAGTTGATAACAATACAAATTATATATCGCTAGTTATTGTCGTCCCACCAAAAAGGGCTGCTGTTCCGCCCGTAGATCACGGAGAAGGGTATCCGAGTCTCCCAAAAGGAGGTGCCAACGGCCTGGCTGTGGGGGATACCCATTGATACCTCATTTCTACTATTTCCAGGCCATAGAATCCATAGAATCCATAGTTTCCATGATGATTTCAATGGAACATGACATTTGAACCTATGAAAAATTATGAAAAGCTGCGATTTAAATGGGAGAAATGATGAGATGATACAGGATGTTACAGGATAGAGGCTTTGGAGTAGCATACTTTTTCAAAGACATCCACAATGGGGCACCAATGAACCTGGTGAATGTTTGAGTCTCAAGACCATCGGGTCAAAGTTGTGAAGATCGGGCAAGTTGTGCAGGAAATCCTAAGAGATATTGTTAATACACAGCTGCCACTTCAGGTAAGGTGATTTGTTCAATACATTCTGCCATGACCTTTCCAGCCCTTTCGGTTCAATGTTGATGTTTGATTTCCCATTCTCCAACTATGACCTCTATATGTGGGTTTGTTGGAATATAGATGAATATAGGGTCTGAGAATAGGGTACTCTCAATCCCACTTCATTCTCATGCACAATCATATGACAATCATTCTTTTCCCCTAAAATTGCCAATTGCTGAAATTGGAAGCCCAGCATGCCCAGCCCTTTCCAAAGCCACTGTGGTTTCCACTCAGACCAGCTGCTGTGTGAGGCTGAGGCTTAAATTTTCGTCCGAGGCCACCTTCGGGGCAGGACTTGTGCTGAGAGATACACCATGAGAAAAACCACCGTTTCTCTTGTGCTCCGGTTTCTGATTCCACAGACACTACATGATCCAGGCTTTACTCAGATTTAAGCCATACGGAAATCCGTTTACCAACGCCAATTTGGGCAGTCACTCTTTGTGATTTGTGGAGGCCGCCACTTTGGTCGCCCAGCTTTTCGCGAATTGTCGTCCCATCAGAAATAATATGTGCCGCGGGTCCCACGTTTACTGCGGAGCAGTCATCCTCTGACGCATGACGGATGATGATGGCTTAGTAATACAGCTCAGTAGTGCCATGTAGTGCCCACAGGCTAGGTAGTGGGTGGTAAGAAAGTGGCCATATTGGTAGGAAACCTATCCTGTGAGGGTTATTGATCAAGGCAGTGCCCTGAACTCATGAGCGTTGCTGGACATAGAACATCATACAACAGCCAAATCTGAACTTGCAGGATGTTTGCCCCTGCAAAGTGTTGGCTTCATAGATATTGGTGGTAAATTGGTGGCGTTTGGCTCACAGATTCAAGAGCTGACAATACAACACAATAGATGTGCCAGAAGACGAATTTCACCTTTCACTTCTCAGAGAGAGGGAGAGAGACTCTTGGAACTGTCCCAGTGAAGGAAACATGATTTCTAGTTTTGGCACGAGGGATTTCTTCCGGAGACTTGCATACAGGCTTCAGCTTGCTCAAAATTCTGCACCGGATCGCTCGGCCGATCTCCCCTATAGGGACAATTGGGTTACTGGGCAACTGAGCATGAGTGACCGTTCTAACAGCAAGGCCCATGACTCAATGCCAAGCCAAAGCCAAGGGTAGGTTGGCAATGGGACTCCTGGAAAAAATCTGAATACCCAGGAAACACACCAACAGGATCCAACAGGTGGAAACACACCATTTTTTATTCCATATGTGTTGCTTCCCAACTGCAATTCAACTCGGGTGCATCTTTGTCAACGCCCCTTTCGTTGCCGAGGTCTGCCAGCAATGATTGCCATCAATGTCAGGCATTGGGAGCAAGGAAACCATGGATTTTCCCGCTGGAGACCGGTGGCACCGCAGCCCTTCGCCAAGCCTTCGGTTGGAGGTGTGGCAACATTTGGGGAAGCTGTGATGATTTCCGTGCAGATTGATTTGATACACACATATACAATATATGATATTATATATAATACAATATATAATACAATATATATATATATTACAGTACAATAGATTTATAATATAGCAACCTGCAAAATCGTGGAAAAGTAAGATACTATGAACACAATTAGTGACAAACATATGGCAAGCGACTTTTTTTGTCACTGGGAACATTCAATGCCCAGCAACTGATGACAGGACGAGCCATCCAGGCTGTGACGGCAAATTTTCTGCGATGGCAGGAGGCACAGAGGTGAAACCGGTGAAACCCAGCCAGAATACGTAGGGCATGATGAGAATTGATGAGATGGGTTGACACATGGCCAGACACATGTGTTCAATTTCGCAAAATAGCAGGACCTGCTCCAAACATTTGCCTGAGCGTCGAGTTATATAGATAATTAGCATTAATGAGCAACAAAGGATTTAATGATTTCTTTGTTCATTCCATTACTCTGCAATGAGCAGCAAGGTTTCACTTGCTGTGCCTTAAGGTGGCATTGTTGATGTCACTCAGGTCCTTTGGCCTTGCAGTCTTGAGGCAATGCACAAGGTGCTGGGTTCTTGGTGGGTCCTCTTCCGCCTAGACTATTTTTCGAGTGCCAATGAGTTTTGAGAGAAAGTACAATAGGGACCCAACCCATGGATGTGTTCTTTCATTTGTTCTTTCTTATCTTTTCTTAGATGTCAAACAGTTGGAACACCAGCACTCAATCATGCTTATGTACTCCACTGGTCGTTTCCTTTTTGGGCTAAGTGGTCGTTCGTAGGTTCAAGTGTTTCCAGGTTTGGAGACGACCTTAATTAGTTGTCAGTGCCACCGTGATGTTACCCATGGTTGGATGTTTCGACAAAAAGATGCAGCGGGCAAAAAAACATAGCTGCTCCAGGAAACGCCACGGTTGTCTGGAGAAATCTGAATGGAATCTTATGGAATCTTGATGAGACTTCCCAAGGGCATTAAAAATACGCACAGCACATACCCTCTGGTAAACTAACATAACTATGGAAAATCACCATTTTTCAAGGGAAAAATCACTATAAATGGTGATTTTCCATAGTTATGTTAGTTTACCAGAGGGTATCTCTCCACAAAAAACCTCCTGCGAGGTCGACCTCCGGTCGAGCGCGGCGTCTCGCCTCGTTGGATGAAGTGGATGAAGCCATCGCGCGTGGATCGCCCACCATGGGGTGAAGCACAGATCGCCACAATTTTCAGATGACTAAGATGGGTCCACAATCCAGACCCCCTAAGCATATCTAAGCATTCCATATATATATATATATTCCATATCATTCCTAATCCAAATATTATCAAATATCTGGACCACCTGATTTTGACCCATTGTTTGTATGTTGTTTCTGAATCAAGGTTTGTTTGGTCCAGGTATCCCACTTCAGACTCTCCACATGTTGTTTCTGCCAAGGCCTTTTGAAAGAGCAAGCAGTGGTGAAGAAAAGTGAACGTGTCGAGAACCACAGCTGCCAAAGCAGTGTGTTATGACCTGATGCCACTGCCATGTGGATGTCACTGAGGTTCCGGTACGGTCGCTCCGTGTGGGTCAAAGGTTGACCGGCATCATCCAGCAGATTGGCCCGTTTGGTCTTTTTGTGGATGTTGGAGCACAACGTGATGGCCTTGCCAGATGCCAAGGTGGCATAGGCACAGGATGGCATAGGTATGGAATATCATAGGATAGCATACTTGAGCTCTCAACTGTGAGGTCAATATGGTCAACTCAAAGACAGACAAGAAAGATACTCATTTGCAGATAATTCGCAGTAGAGACATGTGAAATCATCATATCATGTGATTCTGTTTAGACTGTCATATTTGAAGCTTCTGCGTCTTCGGAACCAACTGTAAGGTACCAATCAGCCTGGTGTCCAAGGGTTACATTGCAGACGTTTACGAGGAGTATATGCCCGGGCAGAAGGTCAGCAGCTGGAAGATTGTGGAAGATTGTTCAGCCTGCCGGTTAACAACGACGATCATTTGGCATTACATGGCATTGATATGCATTAATGATATATTGATAATATATGATAATATTATATATATATAATATATTGTAATATTATATATATATGATATTGTGACTATACATTTTCATGCCTGAATTAATTTTACATATATACACACATGATAACAAGGAAAGTCAACACATTCGGGCACCATGTTTGATAAACCATGGACATTTCTGGAAGTGTTTGACCAATGGCAACCCCTCAGGTGACAGTTTTCGTGGCGCAAATCAAGCACAACGGAGAGTTGCAACCCCCTCAGATACCACAGACCTGGACTAGTTCTGAACATAGTCCAATGATGTCTAATGTAGATAGTGTAAATAACAACCTGGAGGTAGACAAAGATGGATGGATAGGTGGATAGATGGATAATGATGGATAGTTGGCTCGACTTAGAGTCATTTCATATCATTTCATCATTTCCAAGCACACGAGGTAGTGGCATTTCAGTTCCCCCCATAGGATGGTCGGTTGAAACAGGTCATTGACGATGCAACCATCAAGAGCGAGAAAGAGCAAAGGCCTGCAAAAAAGTGCACTACAAAGATGTTTTGAGGATATTTCAGGATGGTCAATGTCTATGGCAAACTATGGCAAACTATGGTTTGATGGGACTCTGCAAGAAACATGGTAGTTGCATGTAAGTACCATTGACTTTGACCCATACCCATTCATGGCTTTTCAATTAGATACTGAATATTAGATACTTAATAATGGAGAGAATCTTAATATTAGTTGCCCATTCTTTGATTACCTTTTTAATACTTTTGGTGGGCGGTAGATCAACGCTTTGGAGGCATGCTGAAGGAAGATCTGTCGGACTTCAAAGACGCTGGCGAGGAGAAAACCTCGAAATGCGTCAAACTCAGGCCCCTTAAGTCTTCAGTTTAACATGGAACCAAAAAAATGGGCGTATTCAATCATATTCATGTGAAAATCATCTTCCAGAGATGTCCAGAGCACATTTTTGTAGGTCCTATGTGAAATAATGTGAAATTTAGATAGTTTAGGGATGTTTGAGGGGGTGTGAAACTCTGTTTTACCAGTGCGAATGTGGTGCTGCAGGAGTGGCTCACCGGGACGCTGGTGCATGCTTCGGAACGAGGTTTTTTTGTGGAAGTGCGAAGACCTGGTCCCGAACAAGGCAGGGCAGATCCTCGTTGGAACTTTTTCTTAAGGAGTGATGTAATGTTATATATACGTAATTATATATATACGTAATTATATATATATATTAATATATAAATATATTTATTTATTTATTTATCTATGTTTTATTTATTTATAGTATATTGTGTGCATTTTGAATGTTAGATTCCTTTCGTGCGAAACTGTCCACATTGGAAGGCCCAATGCCAAAGCAGAAGGAACAAGCGAGCCATTGGCTTTATTATAAATCTGGCCGGGTTTCTAAACAGCCAGGCTTAAAGCAAACTGATATGATATGATATGATATGATATTGATATGGGTGTGGCATATGAGGAACCAAAAAATCAATGTTGTTCCTATTAAAAGTTCTTTTTATCCGGGATTTTCCAATTGTTACTCGTACGTTTGATTACCGGATGGTACTCATGTTCCATTCCATGGCACCATTATTTCTGATGCTCGGATCAAGTTCGCAATCTTGGCGCAGGTCGAACCACAGGTTTTGCCTCTCAGCAGCATCCCATGTTGGTCCCATGTGCTTCACCGTGATTTTATGCAGATTTTGTATACAGATGTTGCTTGTCTTCTCAGGATTCGCAAGTGAGTCTCTGCTTGTGCATGCAGCTGAGGTTCCCATCAGTGAAAGTGTGTTACGCCCGGAGGAGCTGCAGGCCAGATATGTCAGATAAGTTGATGTAGAAAAAAAACGCCGAATTGAATATGCCCTTCTTGGAATTAAATATGCCTAGAAATTGTTGATTTTTTCGAAACAAAAAATATTGTTGATTGTTGATGTTCATTGATATTTCATGGCATCAAGACACCCAGCGGTCAGTGCAACTGCTTATTGAGCTACCAGGTGGGTGCAGAGTTGAAGGTTCGAATGCTGCCAGGGTCGTCAGATTGATCTGCCAGGTTGAATCACTTTTCAATATTGGGCGACACCTATAGATATACATTAAATATATATATATATACACACTTATTGGTATGATTAACTATGATAAATGTATACCATATCAAATAGAATTGTTGAATATATGAGTATGTATATATATAGTATATATATATACAGTAGATAGAATTTCCAGTGGTTCAATATGGTTGGTTTCCACTGTGGCTTGACGCCTTTTTCTAAGGCAGCCGACCTGGCGTTCAGATCACAAGCTCTATTTGTCGATGCGATCAGCCCGAAGTGGTGAAACCACTCATCTTCCAAGCCCTGCCAGGGTCTCTGTTAATTGACTGGAGGCTATCCTTTAAAACTAATCAAAATGATTGACCCGGGAAAAATCGGATAGTTTTGATGAGTTTTTTGTTTAATTATATATTTCAGAGTTCAGATTGAGATGACCCACAGGTGCCCCATGCATTTTGTTGCAAGTTGAGAAGGTCAGTCCGTGCAGAAGGAAAGGACTTGATGTACTTGTAAGATCTTGTAAGTACTTCAGTTAGACAATTATTCAATTTCAGTGTTATGATCATGATCTACTTGCTGAAACCCTGGGAAGATTATCGACCTTCCGAAAGAACAGGTAGGAAGGTATCGTGCCGAGCATATTATTGTGTAATTGAGACTTATACATGCACATGACAATGATATTATGTATTATTCTGTTCAATAAGTTTGTGATTCTGAATCCACTCATCTTTCAAGATTCTTCTATGATGGCGTCTGGACAATCTTTCCATTTCCACCTCAGTCTCTAGGGTGGATGTTTCCTCAATCCAAGGGTTACAACGCTGTAAAGCCAAACTGGAAGCAAAGGCCGGGCAGAAAGCATGTCAGTGTTAGCAATTTGTTAGCATCAAAGTTGGGAACCAGCGAAAGCCAGTACATAGAGAGACATTCACTACATTCGTGGGTACCCTTGCTGAGGATTCATGTGCATCCCTGGACCATGGATTAAATTCGCGACTTTTGCATGGCCAACCCATCAAAGGGTTATATAGACCCTGCATCTGATTTTGTTAACAAACTAATTGTAGCCAGTATGTTGATGTTTTATTTGACTACCACGTATCAACCCAAATGTGGAGGGATGCATGTTTTTATGTTTGTTTTTCTAGCATGTGTAGAACTTTCATTAAGAATATGTGTGTACATGTCATATCAATCATCATACTCTCTGAATCTCTCTGATGCACACGTAATTGCTGCGGATTCTGACAGGCTCTGTAGAATGCCAGATTGGTACCTCATCCGTTTCGACCCAAGGTGAAGCCAGTGAAACCAGATTTGGATGCTTTCCTCCAACTTCCAAAGGCCACTTGGTGCGGTGCTCAGTGCGGTTCTCTGTTTTTCAACGCTGGTCTCTCTATGTTCCGCCTGAGGCTTCGGGGTGTTGTGAAGCGCACCACGAGTTCGGGAGCGTTCCTGTCTTTGCGGCCGCTCAACGTGGATGGGAGTGAAATACATCTTGCTGTACAGTGTATTTGGTGTATTTGCTGCACTGGTGTAGGCAATGAGGGCAATGATTTTCGAGAGACTCTCTCTCTCTCTCTCTCTGCGAAAAAAAGAACACATTGTTCCATGAAGATAGCAGCTTTTTAAACGAAGCAGTCAATGCATAAGAGATGCTCAGCTGAAGCTGCCTCAACTGCTTTCCTCCGGAGTGATTAAGTTACAGCGCCACGATTTGAGGCATCCATACTCAGCGAAGCATGCCACAGCCTTTGTGCAGCCCAGGACATGTTTGGTGCACCCGGAAGTCATAGCGGTAACACCAGAGGGGCTTAGTGACTCTGATAGTCTCAGTCATCAGTCATGTCACAACACCATACAACACCTGGGCACGTGTCTTAAAATGATGTGTTCCCACCAAATGGCCGTTTAAGTGGGGGAAATGATGACACATGATAAACCATTGGATCTTGGGAATTTGGATGGCGATGGCAGGCACATATCACTCATGGCTGTCGAGAAGATCGAAGATCCCGCACAAGTGGTTGAAATTGGTTGGATTTATTTATCTATCTATTAATGTATGTATTTATATTTCATGTAAATCAAGAAAACTGGTGGCTTCAAGTTTCAAGCAAGCATTTTTTTTTCCTCCCTCAAGAACAGATCATCTCACATTGCCAGTTTTGGGATGGGTTGAAACTAAGAACCAGTCAACGCAATTGCGGGCCTGCGGCCTTTTTCTTTGTTTTATTTTGGGATGTTGAAATGGAAAAGGAATTTGCAAAGACCTGCAGGCATCAACTTCTGTTCCCGTCTGTTCTGATTGCTGGACCAACATGACTTCACCACTAAGATCTTTAAGACCCAAAACGCCCTTCCAGAACGTTCGGTCCAAGATTCTAAACATCACTGAGGCGAAGAAGTAAGTGTGAGGCTCTTGGAGCTAAATGTGCACCTCTCAGACATTTGCATTGACACTGGCCAGGGGATGCCAGGGGTAGGCCACGGTCCAATCTGTTCTAGGCGACGACAGGAGAACTGGAAGCTTCAATGATTGTCAGGCACTTGAAATACAGAAGCAGCCAGTTGGTTCTTCCGATGTAGCTAGGCCACCAGAAGGTTTCATCTTCGCATCAACAGCACCAAGTCTTTGTCGTTGGCGACGATGGTGACCATCGTGACCTGCGAAATTCTAAGGCCTAATCTGTGGTGCCAAAGTTGCCCTGCATCGATTTGCTTGCAAAAGGGACGTCGGCGACATGCAAATTCCGTTGAATTCCACTGCAATTCCGACAACTTTAGACTTCAAATTTGGCAAATTTGGCAATCAAGAATTGCAATGCCTGATGCTTGGTTCTCTTTTCCAAGCCAGTTACGACACTGCCACCTTTGGCTCCAGATTTCCTGAAGTATAGCATAGCGGGACAGTGACCATCTACACCGAGCAGCGTCTGATCATGGTCCCAAGCACCTTGAGGGAGTTCCTTTCCAGCATAATATCCAGAGGTCTCCAGTCATGCGACTTGTGCTCATTTGATCTTATGTGCCTCTACGTTCCAAAAGGCCATAAAAGGCCTAAACCAGTCTTACTCAGATGATGTGAGATGACAGTTGCTTTCAGAGTTGTTTGTATTTAAGTTCACATCTACTTGAAGAACTTGTTGATCAATGCAAAAGTGTGAAGTTTCAGCTGCTGTCCAAAAGACCGACAATCCGCAGCAAAACTTTCCCTTTCGAAACTTCGCAGATGGCCAATTCCTCAGTCCCAACAGAGTTCGATAGACATTGGACCGTTCCTTTTCGTTTACGAAACGATGTAGTTTGCAAAGTTCAGCAGTGTTCAAAAACCCTGTTGGTTAGTTGACTATATACTGGTTGGTGGTTTGGAACATGACTTTTATTTTCCTATATATTGGCAATAATCATCCCAACTGACTAATATTTGTCAGAGGGGTTGAAAGCACCAACCAGTATATAATGTAATTTGGATTAATTTGGTGTGATATTATTATCATATGTCATATGCTATCCAATATTTATTGGGAATGATATGGGGGATTATATCATATTATATCGGGCATTATCACAATCCAACTGGGAAATTCCAGTGCTGAAGGTGAACCCATCATTGATTTTCAATGGTGCCATCTCTGGCTTCGTTGGAGCCAGGGGCCGAGCAGGGGGTGGCTACTTCGATGATTTTTCAAGCCTGGCAGACCTGTTGTTGATGGGAACTTCCCGGCCATGTTTGATCACCAGCTAGTTATAGTTAGTTTATATCTTTATAATTATTATATGGTTATAGTTATATGAAAATATGATCCACCATTTTTCCTCATTCACTATATATCAGAATATATCAGATATATCATGTCTTTGTATAGCCAGCATTTTGCCATGTGAACCTTAACCAACCATATATCCACCGTGGTTTTTTGCGAGGTACTTCTTGGAATCATCATCTCGCTGATCGTCAACTGCACTTTGGCCGGGTGCTCGGAAAGGGATCACTCAGTCAGATGTGATAAGCTATCAAATCTTGACGTCATCATGTTTAATTTTAGATGTTTGATCGTTTTGGAAATGAACTCTTTCCAAGCCGAACTGAGGTGGAAATAAGCATCAGCAGTTTCTTTTCGTTGTACTTTGGATTTCTCTTCATTGTGGCACTGCCCTTAGTTCATGTGCTTACTTCCAAAAATAGGTCAACGAGGAAGTCGCTGCAGTGCAATTCTGCCAGGGTACATAAGCCTAGCGTAGCTTTGCCATTGACTACAACTTATGTATTATGCGTTGGTCAAACATATATATATATAGATGGTTTGTGAGTTCGTGCAGAAGCCATTTACAAAAGAATGGATGTGACTGACTGGTGTCCACCATCACGATGGCGATGATAACGATGATGATAACGATGATGATAACGATGATGATGATGATGATGATGATGACGATGAAGATGATGACGATGAAGATAATGACGATGAAGATGATGATGATGGTCATGATGATGGTCATGATGATGGTCATGATGATGGTCATGATGATGGTCATGATGATGGTCATGATGATGGTCATGATGATGGTCATGATGATGGTCATGATGATGGTCATGATGATGGTCATGATGATGGTCATGATGATGATGATGATGATGATGATGATGATGATGATGATGCAGGAGGAGGAGGAGGAGGAATGAGGAGGAGGATGAAGATGAAGATGATGACGATGAAGGCTGTGGCTGGGGTGGCACACCAATCATGTTTAGTGTCTATAATAAGATTATGATGTTGGTATAGGTGGAGGGTGGTATATAGATATGAAACCAATTTGAAATATATTCAAATGACATCAACATCGAGACGGTAGTCGAAGCGGACTTATTGTGTGTTCCAGTGCAGCTGAGGTTGGAGGCATTATCATTTGGCGGATCTTCAGCCAAGATGTTGCCTATAACAAGGAGTTCTAGCCTCAGCTGACATCCCTGGGACGGTGTTGCGCAGAGCACGGCGCAGTCGCCAGGTCGGTCGGAAAGCGACAGATGTTAGTCGTTTTTGGCCTGCTGATCATCCTCTCTGGACTCATTTGCTCTTGTCTCAGATTGTCTCAGATTGTTTCAGATTGTTTCAGCTTCAGCTCAACAAAATCAATCAAAATCATAGATGGCCATGATATGAAATATTATGAAAAATGATGACAATTCTCTCTATGTCAGTGAAATCCATCGAAATTCATCCACCAGTCATCAAGGCTTCACGCTAGAGCAGCACTGGTGCGCCCAGTGGCACATGGTCCCGCATGCTGATTTCCCATGATTTTTAATGGTGTTCTTAATGATTTATCATGTTGTTGTGCTTGAGGCAACGGTTTTACTTATGGACTCTGAGATCGAAAACTTGTGGGACAAAGATCAGAAATGGCATTTTGTCTTTGCCACGACCGAACAGGTACAAAGGCATGTCGCCAATGATGAAGGCGCACCAAAGTACCTGTGACTTTGGAGTTTCAAAGGAAACATCCAATGCCAAGCCCTAGGGCTAAGTGAGTTTATTCCCTTGATACACATTCTGTGAAAGGGGGTTGATGCAAGCTATGCCTCAGAGTGCGTCTTTGTATTTGTTTGTCAGGTAGTGTGGGATGTGCGTTTATTTGTGAAAGAGTTTGTGCTTGTGTTTCTCTCCATTTGTCAGAGCGGGTGTAATTTGTTCTGTGCTTTGTTTGGTGATGTTTCTATCTGATTTATACAATATACAAGTCACTCATTGCATTTCAATGCCAGATGAATTTAAGTTTTCCACAATGCAACGACAAGGTCAAAACACATCCCTGTCTGAGTTTTCAACTTCAAACCCCATAGTCTTTGGTGCACTTCTGCTGTCAACGTGGCAGGTGCCAGTGTACACCATCCTAGGAACTTCGGTGGCATTCGTTCGGGCCCAAGCTATTACCCCCCACGAGACTCCTTCATGTTTAACATGTTTAACGCACTTGAAATTTGCCTCGAATTTGCTCAAAAATTCTATGTTGGATACATTTGGAAAGTATAAATGTGAATGTTCCGGCAGATTGGATACATTTGGCTACGGTTAGTGCCTTGTCAGTGCCCCATATCAACGTGACCCGGCACCAAGGCCCTAACATTCTCAGTCGTCGATTTGGTGAACTATGTGCTGGGCTTCTTACAGGCCGGTCGATGGAGCCAGGGAACGGCAGATGTGTAAAACAATGCCATTTTTACAACCCACTGGGAGGGGTAAACATACCACCTGTTGTGAAATTGGGGATGGTTTATTATTGTTTTATCTAGATTATGTGCTTATGTATTTTTGAAATGCTACTACATCCATCTAAACCACGTCATTTGGCTCAATAGCGTTGAGTCAGAAAATAATTTTTATGGCAGCAGGCCAAGGGCAGCTATTGGGGAATACCACTGGATTACCAAACCACAGCACTGCCCAGAGCTATGGAATGTGTTTCAACATGATTTACAGTAACAGTGAAGTGTGTGTGTGTGTCTGCGCGCGCGTGCATCACTCATACATTGATGTATTTATGGATTTTGATGGATGCATCTATTCTTGCATCTCTGCATTTTATATCTACACCCACGCAGACATGTTACACCACATCTAAGTGCGACAGATAGTCACTATAAATAGTATCATGATATCGTGTATGATTGTGTATTTCATATGTCTGAAAAAAGAGCTTAGTGTACACATAGTGTTGTTGATTCGAGAGATGAATTTAATTTGTCGTCATTACCATGATTCCATTGGTGATCATAGTTAATGATCAGTTGTCAAAGTTATCACCTTTTGTAAATTTCATGTACTTATCATAGTTACAGTATCACCAATAAGAGTACCATAGGTATAAACATTATTAGTAGTACCATAGTTATAATCATTAATAATATGTTATCACACCGAATTATGAGTACCCTAGTTATAACAATGATTATTTCGATTACCATAGTTATACCGATTACAGATAAATAAATGAATAAATAAATAAATAAATATGTATATATACACACACATCATGTTATATACTTAGTTACTATAATACATTGTTACTCTAGTTAAATATCTAATATATCATTATCGTATATAACGATCATAATTTTTACCATAGCTATAGTGATATAGTCATCACCATTGATTACAGTATCATATTATATTATAATTATGCTATCAGCGTTATCACTGTTAAACAACAATGATCACCGATAATAGTCATTATATTTTCATAGTTTCACATAGTTAACTGGTTGGTGGTTTGGAACATATTTTATTTTTCCATATATTGGGAATAAGAATCCCAACTGACTAATATATTTTTTTCAGATGGGTTGAAACCATCAACCAGTTAATATAACCATAGTAATTATATGTAATTATATTAATCACCATAGTTTGGATCACCATTCTATCACCATTCTATCACCATTAATTACCATATGGTTTGAAGACAGTTTACCATAAGTATCACCATTCTCACAACACTTCGCCGACAGGTCTCAGTGGCGAAACCCTTCGTCGAGTCTGCAGCACAGGCAGCCCATGGCCATGGAGGACATAATATGATTTCATCATCACCTAGGGTGATACATGGTCCTGGTGTCGAAACCTTATTTAAAAAAAAAAAAACTTCCGGGGGCATATCACCCCCTATGAGGATTCAACCAGTTCCATGAAAAAAGTTGTCCTATTTGGATGGGCTTTTAGCCGCTTAGCCATCAAAACGCGCCATGATGCTTGGTAGATGATAACAGGTGTTGTAGCCGCTATTCCATAAGATTGGAACATCATACCTATTGCCAACTATAGTTTATAGGGCATCAATATTGGATATATTGGCGTACAACAACTGGGATATAAGGGTACATGATTTATATAGGCGATTGTCATCATCCATGAACTGGGAGTCCCCGTCAACCAACCATGATATAGAATTATACTGCCTAAATTAATGCTCAAGGGGGTTATCATTCCCATGCGCCATCCTGTGTTCAATGTGCTGTTTGAGACAGTTTTTGTTGTGTCCAACTTCACTTCACATGGGAAGGACATGCAGCATTTTGGCATATTTTCGAGACAGATTCAACCCTTTGGAGTCAAGATTTTTTTTGAGTTTCGTTGTGGATTTGGCTTTGTCTGAAACAGAGGTAGCAAAAGAAACCAACGGTTCGAACTCTTATTTTCCACACATTAGAATGGCCACATTTAATTACACACGTCTATATACGATATACAGTAATAGATACAGGTGTATATTGATTTTTTAATACTGTACACTCTTTACACATATATTATCATGATATGTATATTTATACTGGTATGTATAAATTCTGTATGATATGTGTTACACATATGTATATTATCATATATGTATTACATATATGATAAGTTGTGTAATATACTGGTGTTGTAAGCTGATGATATATGTTGTAAAGTGCCATTGTTATTTGTATGTTGTATATTTACACCTACACAGCTTATTGTTGTGATTTCTCAAAAAAAACTGTGATAAACCTGTGTAGGTCTACATGGTCTTGGCCTGCGCCTTGATCATGGGCGGACTCTTTGGCCTGATCTTCGGGGTCATGGACGTTGAGGCCCGGCAGGGCCCCGGTGGATTTATCCAGTTTGTTGGATGAAATCTGATGAAGTTCCAATGAGGTTCCCATAAATTACTGAGGATAAGTTAACTTATTTAAATATATTTAAATGGGGATCAGAATTCTGATGGGTTTATCCAGAAATGTGAGCACTCAGCGCCAATTTATGGCAAGTTTCATGGGACAAATCCACCACAAATGGGGACTCTAAACATCCCAAAAGGGGATGTTTTATCAGCAATTCGAGTTTTTGATCAAAAAGAATTGACTTTAAACTCCAATACATGTCTAGTTCAATCAGGGAACATATATGGGTTCAGTGGATTTCGGGGTAATCTGCGGTGGAGAAATTCCGATCAGGTCTCAAATGCATTGCGATTTTTTGTATTTTCTGGCCATCTAGAGACAGCAATTCATGACTATTCTGAATATTTTCTGGATATTTCTGGATAAATCTACATGGGGGTTTCCTAAAATGGTGGTGCCCCAATAGCTGGATGGTTTACAGTGGAACATCTTATTAAAAATAAATGATTTTGGGAGTACCCCCATGACTAAGGAATCCCCAACATGCCATCGCTGGCAGGATGAAGTGAGCTACCAGATCCGCTTGGCTCTCCTCAGAGAGGATTTGACATATGGGAGAATGTGATTGGAATATCATAGACATATATATATATATAACTGATAATAACCAACTTGATGTGGATTTGGCAACTTGTGTATGTGTTTTTTTAGGGGTAACCCCACTTTTGACCAATTCCAAGATGCCATAGTTTCAGATTCTGCATCATCCTTGTGATGACAACCTCAGTCTGGACTGGCAGATAGCAAGGAGAGATACTGCTACCCCGTTGGCGCTCTTCTAGGAGGTCTAGTACCTCGGCTCAGTGGTGGCCACTAGGATCGCGGAAATCCGCAGAACGGTGGTATCTGAATGAGTTCAGTCATACGTCGTACGTCTAGCTTCAATACTACTAAGATCTACTAAGGTGGGTTTCTTCAACGAGTACATCAGAGACCAGGAGGAGTTCCCAACTGATCATGTCATGTTGTTAGTGGTGGATTGACACAGATCATGACAGTTCTGAATCCTTGAGACTGCTATGTTCCTGACCAAAAATGATTGTTGTTCCGAGTGCCTTGGCTGAGTTGAGCAACGTTCTGAATTTGAGCAACTTCCGCAGCACTTTGCTTTGGAGCCTTAAAAAAACGGGACAATTGTCGACAAATGTGGGGGATTTTTGAACGACTACAATTTGCGGGCATCATTTTCCGCCATCTTGCGTATTTGCTCCAATCGGGGTCTATTGGCAACACGAGCATAAGCATCCTGTGAAGACATGGATGTCAAAAGTCAGAGGAGTAGGAAGCTCAACACTGAGTAATTAATTAAGATTTGGACTTGAGATGACTACTTACAGCACATTAGTAACGGAAGAAATTGAGAACTACAGAACTACAGTAACCCCCAAGGCTTTCAGGTGTAACAGAAACCACTGTGGGATGGGACAGGTCAATGTGCAAACCTCCACACGGTTAAAGCATACTATATAAATTAGATAATACTATATATATTATATATATATATATATGTATATACATTATATATATAATATATATATATTATATACTGTATATACATGATATAGCCATATAGCCTTCAATCTGCGAATGGTTAGAGGCCTAACTCATTTAACCCATCGAGTCGGCCCATGGGCACAGCTTGCTCGGTGTGCCGGCGTGAAGGGTCCGACCTGGTCGGAGAATGTCTGCGACTTAGCCCGCAGCCCGTAGCATTTGTGGCGTTGCATCATTTGTCTAAAAAAGTGTAGCAAAGCAAAGCACAATCACATCTTGCATATTTTGGTTACCAAGAAAACAGATGCCCATAATTTAATATGCCGATGTTATCCGATGTTTCTCAGTCCGCAGGAAATGCCAACCACTTGAAGCTGAGGCTCCTTTCCACAGCCAACGAACTTTTTCCAGAACACCACCCAGCAGCGGTTAGACTTCTTGGCGCAGGTGGGGAGCTGTAAGACGGGGTCCGTATGAGGGCGTTGTTGCCATATGGGACTCCGTTATGTCCATGCTAACGGTTTGGCTATAAACATGTACTGTGGTAAATCCAATTTCATAAACCATCCCCAAGTCATCACAATTTTTATGGGTGCTATGTTTACATATGTTTACCATCCCTACTGGTAGTTGTTAATGGTAGCCAGGGTTGCCCACATCTAGTGTGACACGCCAGACTGATCAAGTGCCGCAGCCTCGGAGACGTCCCTGCAGGTGAAACTTTTTCAGCGTCTTCCTGAGGATCAGCACAACCTTTTGGCCTCAGTCTCTCGTTTGAATGATGATGCAAGTCAATATGTACAATACATCACATCCCACCCCACCCCAACCCACCCCACCCCACCCCAACCCACCCCACCCCATCCCATCCCATCCCATCACATCCATGTTACATAACCTACATACATACATAATTTACATAATCATATATATATATAATTATATATATAGATACATACATTGTATGCAATTTCATGAGTGAAGTTATATGTACAGTATATATATATATTAATATTGCATATATGATATCCATATATAACTTTGGACCTGTCCCATCCGGCTGCGCAGCTGCGATCCACAGGCATGTGAGGAGGTCGTGTACCAGGATGAGGTGCCGTGAGAACCTCCAGCAGTTGGGAGATAACCCCTGTAAGTTTGATTTTATATCGACTTATTTACTGGAAATATGTGTGAGTTTCCTGTTTTTTCACGAACTGCTAGGAGACCTGTGCAAGTTTGGATAGAATGCCAGATAGAATGTCAGAATATATGTCAGACAGAATGTCATGCTGGGGATCACCCAAAGAAAGTAGTGTTATAGATAAAACCCACCAGGGTGAACAACGGTTGTTGATGAAATCCCCATTTCTTCGGGTTTTTTTCTAGATCCCATCTCTCTTGGGGGAAAATCGACAGGTGATCATCAAACAGGGCGACCATGGCCATGAGTTCTTTGTCATCAAAGATGGCAAGGCTGAGGTGCTCATTGGCCAGACGAAACAGGTCAGGAGGGACCAGGGGACGGCCTGAGGGTGAAGAAACATGGGAATTGGTCATAGATTTTTGTGGGGAAATCCTTAAAGTTTGGAGATTTTGGGCCAAAGCCGGAGAATATGAGTCGTTTCAACCGTTTTAAACCATTGCAGGATTTCGGGCCAAATTGAGAAAATTATAAACCATGATAAACCACATGAAACCACTAGATTTTGGCGTCCATATTTTGAGACAACCTTGGCTGCGAAATTTTGCTGATGGGTGCTGTTTGAGGTAACGCTCAAGACGGGCGACTACTTCGGGGAGAACGCACTTTTGCGAGATGAGTCGGGTGACCAAGAGTCTGGGTGGGGACCGTGCACCTGCGATAAACTGTTGGTTTTATCCGAAATTTGATTTATCTCGATTTGAAATGAATCACCAGGAGGGTAGCCATTTAACAAATGTACAGTTTGGATGACACGGTCCAGGCCACGGACTGCTACGATCAAGGCTGTCGGCAGACTGAAGGTGTGGAACCAGATTTAATATGAATTGGATGGGCTGGTAACAACTTGACAACAGGAAAATCCTGCTCAAAACCATCCGAAAACCATCCGTGCTCTGTTTCTGCTAGGCTCTGAAGATCACTCGTGATCAGTTTGTAGAGCTCGGCTTGAGGCCGCGTCATGAGACCTCGCAGCTGAGCTGACATGCACTGCCAGATTCAGTTGGTCCAGTCTTTCCAGGGAAAAGCTCGACTTCCCCCAGCGCAAAGCCGTTGGAGGAAATGTTCAGAATATCGTGGTGAAGGACTCCCACCATGGGTCAGCATGGTTGCCAAATGAATGTGGATCAAAATTTGGGATACCCAAATATGTGGCAATGTTTAGGTACACTGCTAGTATATTTGAACGGGGAAAATGATGCTTTGAAACCACGGGATGCTGGCTGTCTGGGTGCCTAATTTTGAGAGTGACATTCCCAAATCCCCAAGCACTTGTTGAGGAAGCATCAGAAGTCGTGACGTTGAGGTTTAACAGCTAGACACATGATTTGGTTTCGTCCGACCCACCGCCTTCGTAGGACCCGACACCAAAGACAGAGAGCCAGAGAAGCTTCGTCTTAAAACAGAGAAGCTCAGGGCTGGTGGACCGTGAATGTGAAATGGTGCCCTGTTTTCTGTTCATCCATATTGTACCAACAACTCAGCTCGAGATGCGTTTTGGTGTCGCGGTGTGCTATTTTGTGGCAGTAGGCGGTTACCTGTAAGTGTGTTTGCGGAGTTGGCGTCGCATTGGAGACAAAGTACGCAAAAAATCTGGGTTTGTCTCAATGAAATCAAAGGTGCATGGTTAATCGTCAGTTTTCCCATTCAAATACAACACCTGTGTGTACTTTTATGGCATCTGACCGAATCTGACCCTCTTGGCCATGACCCCAACCCGTTCGACACTCAAATTGGTTGGCGACAGATGCGACAGATCCCACCGTAACGCTGCTGAGGAGTCTTGATCTCAAATGCTCTAAAAGCCAATGAAAATTTGCAGAGAAACTTGGCGCAGTTGGAGCAGATGCTGAGAGAAATTCTTGAATTTTCCTGAAACATGTCTTCGCTATGCTATGCCTTGAAAGTCCGCTCGGGTCAAGAACCAGGTAGCACAAAACTTACCTCAGTGAATATCCTGGTGCCATCCTAGGTGATGTTGCTCTTGATGATAATTGATACATTACATGTTAATTTAATTTAATTTAATTTATATATATATATTATTTATATTATTATTATATATATATCCACATTCTACTTGATAGGTTGTTAGTTATCGTTGCTTACTACTCTCATGATTATTATCACTATCTAGTGTATATATATAATTATATATATAGAGAGAGTATAGCTATTGCGTTGTTGCTGCTATCATCGTCACCACGAAGTTGTTGTCACCACGAAGTTGTTGTCATCGCCATTTGGAAACATTTGGAAACGAGGTGTTGTCGATTTGGACATCCCTCGCATCAAAGCAATTTGCGACATTGCATGGCAGGAGGACCTTGCAGTTGTGAGGACATACTGTGGATGGAAGAACTCCTGCACCAGTTGGTACAGATGTCTTTATCCCCTTGTAGTACCCTTATTTACAATGGTTCCTTTCCAATACTTACCAACTGGTGCAGGATTTCTTCCATCCGCATTATCAAATGACAAGGATACCAAATCTATCCAACGCTAGATGAAACTGAGTGTTCCCAATTTTCAGGCGGTGCCAAAGGGCACCAAACTCATCACGGAGGGCGATCTCAATGCAGATTATTTTTATATTGTTCAATCAGGCAGAGTTTGGGATTCTGTTGGGTGGCTGATGCAGTGTAGAGTTCCTGCATTTTTCGCGCCCGCAGCCGCCGGAGGCAGTTTTAACGTCATTGTGGAAGGCAAGGATTCTGTTGAGGCCGGGCACAAACTCGTGGATGTCCAATGAGTTGTTGGTTCGTTGTATTTCTTTTGGTTCCAGATTCCAGCAAAATTGGGAAAGATTGGGAAGGCAAAGCCAGCGGGATCCAGCTCGGCCAGGCGCGGTGTCACCGTTGGATTTGCGAATAAGCATCACCACTATACACCATCATCCACCATCTAGCAATAAGCCAATATCTTGATTTACAATTCTGATTGGTAGATTCGAAGATTCCCTACACATGACTTGACTGAAATTGTCGAGGATTGGTCCGGGTGGCAGCTTTGGCGAGTTGGCCTTGCTGTACTTCGCACCACGCGCGGCCACAGTCCAGGCTAGCCACAGCTAGCCATTTCGGCCACTGATGGCCAGGGACCTGCAGAGGGCGCTGGGTCAATTTGACTGAATGCCAACCCCGGCTTCATAAACTCTGGTTGATTCATAACTAGTTGATTCATAATCATGAGGCACCCGCCCAAATAGCGACGATTAGCTGATTAGCTACTAAAATGACACCCCGCAGTTTCACAACTGCCGAGGTGGGGTCATGAGAATTCCACAGCCAAAAAGTCCCGAAGATCACCTGTGCTGACCCGGTCTGGCGGTCACCGCAGGCAGCTGACGATTCCTCGGTTTGGATCATTGATCGAGGCCAATCTGCACCCAGCTCTGCTACAATTCGCGCAGCGTAGCGCATCGCCGCGAGGCAATTTCAAGAGGATCATGGCCAAGTCATCAGATGAACGGGAAGCCGAATATCTCAAACACCTCGACAAGGTGTGCCACATCAAGCGATGATATATGTCGGATGTTGATCTGTGACATTCTGTGACGATGAGATTTCGATAAGAATGTTTCAGCATGTTTCAGCTCTTTAGTTGAAGTGTTGCTCCCTTTGATGTGCGGACGGATGTTGCCCTGGCGGATGCAGGTTGATGTTCTGTCCCCTTTAAAGAAAGAGGAGAAAGCAGCTCTGGCGAAGTGTTTGACCGAGTCTTGTCACGAAGCCTCACTTGATCTGCTTGTAATGTTCATTGATGTTTATTGTACCGCATCACAATGCCGGCTTTCAGGCTCGTATTTCTCACTTTTGCGTACTTCATCCTTCCCCCTTGGTGATGTTTTTTACCAGCGAAGACTGATGCAATGGGCATATCATTCGTCAGCCTAGGAAGTGTCCTTTGTGAAGGGTGACGTGATTTTCAAGCAGGGAGATGAAGGTGCCGTCCCGTTGTTCGACTGTCAGGGTATGTTTTGGACATGATCTGGATATATCTGGACCATGTTTGGGGCATGTCCAGTCATGTCCAGTCTTCCCTCTGAGATACTATATATCAATTTAACTCAATTTATATCAACCAGTTGCATCCTGATATTATCCTGGTCACCAAAACACCCCACACGATTGGATAGTTTCTTTATGTTTCTTTACTCTGCTACTCTCTGTTGGATCAAGGGTTTTTTGGCCGCAAGCCTCAGGTGATTCCTTCTACTTGTTGGTTGATGGCACAGTGGAGGTAGTCAAGGACCCTGGTAGACACAGGGCCCTGGGATTTGCCTGAGCGTTGGAGTAGACTTCCCAACGGGTCATCTTGGGTCTCTTGACGGAAGTGAAAGGACGAAAAAGCTACCTCACGCTTGCAAGGCGCGCCAGACAAGGCAGAACTGGGTCATGCTGTCGACGACATGACATGAGAGTTTGCAATCCAGACTAGATTTGCGCGAATGGGTGTACTTCAAGGTGTGTTGGTGTACATTTGCTTTGCGCATCGTCTGGAACAATCTGTTGATTCCCGGAACATCCCGGAACCTGGGAAATTCTGAACTGTTCAACAGTACTATACTATAAGATATACTAAGTAAGTATTTTACTGGCACTACGGATGAGATGTCTACAAGATGCACAGCAAGCCTAGCCTGCCAGCATTGCTAGGCCAGATTCTTCGGTGAGCGAGCGCTGTTGAAGAACGAGCCGCGTGCTGCGACCATCAAAGTGGTCTCTCCATCAGTGATTTGGAAGCAATTAATCATTAAAACAGAGACCAAGGAAGAATGTTTATTTGAATCACTTGGACTCTTGGACACATGCAATTAGCATGGAAGAGTGTTTTGTTCTGATTATATATCGTTTTCCAGTGTCTTCAGTTTCCATTTTACAACTAGGTCAACTTGCTGCGTTTGAATCAAAACATGGAGCAGTTGCAGCAGTCAACGAGCGGAGGCCAGAACTTTGATGGTCGACAAGCAGTCCTTTGATATGCTCCTGGGACCTCTGGAGGTGACAGGGCCATGGTGATGATGATGTTTGAGACATTTTGAGACATTTTCCTCAAGACGGCCAAAGGAAGCCAAAGGCATTGTTAAATGCTGCTTAATTAGTGTTTAATTAGTGTTTAATTGCTGTTAAATGCTGTTAAATGCTGTTAAATACACGATTTCTTTCAGGCATGGTAAGGCAACCTATGGCAACCTGTGGCAACCTGTGGCAACCTGTGGCAATGCACGTAAGCTTGGGAATTGCCACTTGATAAGTCACGACTGCCAATTTCTGGAAAAAAAAACTAGAGGGGCAGAAAGCTGATGAAAGCTGACTGTTGCACGAACACTGCAGGAGCTGAAGAAGCGTGGAAAGAGTGGTCCAGGTTCCAAGCTTCAGGACTGGTCGTTTGTTCGTGTCTTGTTGTTTTTTATCCCGAAATATTTAAGGCATCAAACAATCAGCCAGTACTTGTAGTATCTAGCAATATCCAGGAGCCAACCAATGTGCTATCCGCAGGATGGAGAAGCTCCGGGCGTGACCGGCATTGATAAAAGTCGGTTTGGGAAGATCAAGCGAAAGGAGAGGGGCACGGCGGGGCCTTGCAGTCCGAGATCTAAGAAGGCACCATGAGAGTCCAGAAGATCGCCGTGGTTTTCCCAGTTTGACGTACTTAATATGTATATATATATACTCTGAATGGGGTTCAGAAAGGTAGCCACAACAAGAAATGCGATCTTCGGATGAACGGCCGCGTTCTCTTTTCCCTGCAGATCTCGGAATGAAATGTCCCAGTCTCCAAAAATGCTGTCCACAGCAAGCGATAAGAGTCGGCCACGACTCAATGGCACAAATGGGGTGCCACAAGCACTTCCCACCCACCAATCCCTATGGCTAGCCTCAGCCAAGTGCTGCAGACAGCCGTAGATGTTATATGTGTCAAGACCTGAAGCTTTGGAGTGACTTGGATCCTGGAACATGTTGAAATTCACACTCCCAAAGAATCAAGAGTTTTTACTTTTGTTCTGAAGTTTTTAACCATTTTAATCGGTTGCGTGCATTTGCTCTGTTTTTCAAGATTTGATCTTGGTCATGCAACTGATAAAATCCATACTTCAGCGTTTCTCGGAGGAAGCTTGTTTCCATGATTTTCGTGAGGCTGTCGGCAAGTTGGGCACCTGAGTGGACCCATTTAAGCGTTACTCCTTCGGACATCAGGTCTTTTATGGCTCTGGCCAACAACTGAGTCCTGAACTCTTGGCAATTTGGAGGTGCTGTCCGAGACACCATGTCAAACAGCGATTTGCAATCGGTCACAGCTATGTCTGAGTCACTGATTTTCATAGTTGCTGTTGTTATGGAATTCGGGAGCTTATTCAGGGCTATCTTGGGTTCTTTCCATGCCGTTTGTGGGTTTAAAATCCAAGCCCAATATAATCTTAACCATGACAACTGATCGACAGTACTATTCAGGGAAGTGGCTTCAGCTGAAAGTGTACTAACTACGACCTTTTGAATTTTCTTGCAGCCCCAGGATATGGGCGAGACCGGGCTCTGCACATTGTCGGCAATCTGTTCATGGGTTGTCATAATCATCATTCCAGTGTGCGAATCAGGCTGTTTCTTTGATGAGAAAGAAGCATCAGAAAATGCAAGGAATCTCAATTTATTGATGGGAATTGGCTGAATGGTTATTGTGGTGTCTTTATGGCGTTTGGCATCGTGAAGTACTTTGTTGGCATCGTTAAGGGTCTGGATGGTGGCACTGTTCACAGCACTTTGCAAGAAACTCAGTCGGCTGGACAAATCGGGTCGGGTGTTGACTGCTGCATACTGTAGGGATCCTATCAAGGCTCTTAGAGCCTGCTGCTCTTCTGAAGTTACTGAAAGGTCCGGTTGATATTTTCGGCTGGCATCGATGTGGATTGGTTCAATTTTGGAAATGTATTTTTCTTGGGATAGATTGATACTGTGATTGGAATTTTGGTGCATGTCAATGCCGGTGAAAGTGAATGTTTGGACTTTCTTGGACCCAAAAGGAAAGATCTTTTCAAGTTCAGCAAGCTTTGTTTTGAAATAGGCATTTCCCCCACAGAGACCGTCATCGACATGAACCCCAATGATACCTGCAGTTTGTGTTGTCTTAGGTTCATATAACACATATACGGTGGGATCAAATGGTGAGGGGAGAAATGACAATGATCTCAGCGTCCGGTCAAGTTCTTGGTACCACAAAAAGGGGGCATCAATCAGTCCATATGCTGACTTTGCGAGTTTACATACTTCGGTCGGTTTGAGCTGCATGGCTTTTGCCATTTCGGGAACTGGTTCGATTGCCAACACTCGTCCCTCCTGCGTCTTGCCTTGCAAAAAGGCAGCCTTGATATCAAATGATGACAATTCCCAATTCATTGAGGCAATTAGTTGTAAAATCAACATTCTTGACTGTCGTGCAAGTGTAGGGCTGTCTCTTTGCACTTTGTCTAGTGCGGGGTCAAGAAATCCTAAAACAACCAGTCTGGCCTTTGCCTTTTTGTCCTTTCCAAGTCGCTTTTGTTCAGCCTTGTCTTCTATTGATCCATACATAGATCCATCTGCATCGCAGGATCTGTTCGGCTGACAGTTTGTTTCTGAGGATTTTACATACTGTTCCTGTTTTCAACCAATTCTCAACCTCTGTTTGTTTGGCCTTCTCAAATTCTGCTTTTTCACTGGGTGACAGTGTACTCAATTTCACTTCTGATCTTTGTTTCTTGGAATTTGACGCAAGAAAAACCAGCTCTTCCACTTGGTCATGACTTATGGTTAGGCAATCGTCATCAAAGGGAACTTCAACCTCAAAGCGCCAAGCAAGATCGCCAGTTGTCTCTAAGTGTTGGGTGTCGTCGAGGTCTTGGCACAGCAAAAGATCACACACTAAGCTATCATCATCACTGTCGGGAACTGGCACTTCGTGTGCTGCCGGTGGATCCTCTGGTTTTGGCGTGTCAGGCTCATGCGGCAAAGTTTCAGGTTCAGTGTCAGGTTGTTCTTGGGATTGTGATGAGCTTGAGCTTTCTTGGTTATTTTCATTGGAAATTCCTCTGGAAGCGTTACTTGGTGGGATTATGTTATCACTATTGGTATCCATATTCATTCTTGATGGTGATTCCAGATTGGTTCTTATGTTGGATTCCCGCGCCTGCATTTGTGGAAGAATCAAACTTTCATGGTCAGGGATAATTTGAGCTTCAACAGAACTCACTGGTCGTACATGTTCAGGGGCTGCTCGAACCAAAGTTCCATGGTGCATGCTGAAAACTGAATTTTGTCCATCTTGTTGGATAACCTTGCAAGGACCGATCCAACCTTTCTGATGTTCACTTTGTCTCCAGATCATTACCCATTCCCCTGCTACATAGTTGCCCCTGTTAGGACGGTTCCTGCGAAGCATTGCTCTTCTCAAGGCCATACTGTTATCTGCTTCGTGAAAAGCCTTACGAGCCGATTCACGCATTGCCAGTTGAGTTCGGAAACGGATGCCGTGTCCATTTTCGTCCATGGCTGCCAAGTGGGAAGGGAGGTGGTCATCACTGGCTACGGATCCAGGAACTCGGAGGCCCTTCCCAAACACCAACACTTCTGGAGAGAAACCATGTCTCAAACTGCATGCGTTCTTTGCGGCTGTACACATGGACAATGCTATCTGAAGTTCAGAGTAGTTGTTGATCCCATGCTCTATCTCAAACTTGGATAACATTTCCTGGAGAATTTCTCCATGGCGTTCTGTTTTCCCAAGTTGCCAATGTGCTCCAGGTGGAATCACCGTGGCTTTGACATTGTTCTGTTGAAGGAACTTTTGGAATATCTCTGACGTAAACTCTGTTGCTGAATCCATGATCATTTCATTGGGAGGTCCGGCCCATAGGAACCAACTTTGTATCAATTTTTCCACTGCTTGTTCTGCGGTTCGGCTGGGTGCGACACTGGCTGTTTGGAAGTTCGTACCATGATCTATGTAGTGGTAAAAGTGAAAGGATTGTCCATTTTTGTTGATCCAAGTGACACCATCGGTTGAGATTTTGTCACAAAAATCCATTTCTGCTTTCAGGGTGGCTGGTCTGGGAATGCGTGGTTTCTGTTGCATCTGACAAGTGGAACATTGGTAATCTTCTAGTGCTTGGATCATGGTCGTGGGAAATCCCTTCTGGCGAAGGACCTGGCTGAGAACCTGTTTCGACGGATGTCCAAGGTTCTTGTGCACTCGGATGAGGAGGCTTCGCTCTTCAGCAGGCAGTGCCAAAAATCGATTTCCATGCATCTGACTCTGGATGTCGGCTGCATCAGGGTCTTGGTCTAGATCTAAGATCTTTGGCTCTACAGGAACTTCGGACTCCTGGGATTGAGATCTAGAGTCAGGGTTCTGTGACAGCATAGGTGTTGACTCATCCGGAGTCGGTGATTGGCTGTCACTCTGATCTGGCAGCAAATCTTGGGCATCGGTGGCAGGCTCAATCACTGGTGGATTGGCAGCAAATACTGTTATATTCACGTGGCAGGAATGAGATGCTCTGATTAATTGTCTTTGAGAAAGATCCTCCCAGTGTTCCCAATGGTCTTCTACTAGTATTTGTTGGGTATCTCGAACTTCAACAATTGCTCTACGATATGGTGCTTCCCCTCGTAATAGTTGCTTTGGAGGTCCTAACGTCCGTTCAGTACCTTTGCATGCAACTATTCGCTGGACGGTCTTATCGTTGAAGACTTCTTGAACTTTCTCAATTACTCTTGGGTCTGTGATCTCATGCTTGCCTACCCGTGGAAGCTGCTGCTTGATGCTAGTTACAATCTGCTGCACGAGTGTTTTGGCATCATCTTCGGGTCCTTTTACCTCAAGTCTTCTTCTTTTCCGAGGCAACTCATTCGGTTCAATCAGTTTTGCTGCAGGCTTGAGGAACTTTTTCGGCCTCTGTACAGGTGAGGTGTCTGGACCACGTTTTCTACCCTGGGCTGCAAAAACGGCATGCCATTGATGAAATCCCTTTGGCTTTTCAACATTGATCTTGGCTAGAACTTTGGCAATGGTTCTGGCAAACTTTCGGGTGTAGGCTTCGGACATGGTCGTTCGATTGATGGTCTGTCCGTTTATTTGGGTAGTCCCTGACAACTGTTGATGCGAATGCTGTTTGTTGCAGCACCTACCATGCAATTGTTCATGCAACCTAGAGGAAGCTGTTCGCACGGTCATGCTCTTTTGAATCAACAGCTGGTTTACAGGGTCCTTCAACTCACCTACCTGGCACATGTCGAAATTGGAGGCATGTGTGAGTGCATACAGTTCGGACAACAATGGCGTTCGAAACATCATAGATTTCCGGGTCTGTTCCCAGTGAAGATGTTTCCCCTTTGAGAACTGATGTCGCAGCAACACCACGCCGAGGGCTAGTTGGTACAAGTTCTGACTTCGCTGGAGGTTGATCCTGTCAAACTGTTCTATCGACTAATTCTCATTGAGATGACTCCAAGGGCTCCATGGTCCACATACTGGGCTGAACCAAACATGTTCTGGCTTTTGTCTCACAATGATCTCAAACAGTTTATTC